CAGTTTTGGGGAGGAAAATCAATCAACTGCCCTGTGGAGCAAAAATTTATGGTAACTCACCAGAAATTCATGGCAATTTATGGTAACTTACAAGTAACTCGTCAATTTTCTTACCAAATTTTTTAGAATTTCTAGATTTTCTAAAAAATTTTAAATTTTTTAAAATTTTTGAAAAAAAAACTTTCGTTCTATCCAAATTATTCTCATGTTTTTGTATTGTACTGAATAATTTTTAGTAACTAATACAAAAAGTGTACTTCACAGCTCTCGGAACCACTAGGACGAGGGCCGAGATCGGTGAGCGAACGCAGAAGAATGCGAGCCCGTTCTTCCGAAAATTCATCATACTGCCCGGCTGGCTTCACTGCTGGCATTCGTTTGTCTTCATAAACAACAAATCCATAAATTCCACCAATAATCAGTAAAATTAACAGCCAATGTCGAAAACCCAAATCCTCCAATTCCAGCTGAAGCGATAGATTTTGGAAAAAAAAAAAACCCTGAGGTATCAAAAAATGGAGCTTTAAAAATGCATCTCTCAAGACCTACAAAAGCTACAGGGCTGAAACTTTGGGAACATAATCTACATGCACGTATGGGCTCGAATCCTCAAAATGGGCGCCATTACCCGCGTGATACCCACGTAAGAGCCCGTCAAAGTTTTTTACGGGTAAGCTGCTAACTTGGGAACCAGAAGTGCTTGGGAGCTGAAATTTTAAGGGGATGTTCTCCGTCCAATTAATTATTAATGAGCTCAAACCCAGCCCCCGGGTAAGCGTAATACCCGCGTACGAGCCAATCAAAATTTTTCTCGGGTAAGTTCATAACTCGGGGATCTGAGATGCCAGAAAGCTGAAAGCTTAGGGGGATGTTCCCCATCCAAGTAAGTACTAATGAGCTCAAACCCAGCCCCAGGGGATGCGTGGTATCTACGTCCGGGTCCGTGAAAGTTTTCTTCCAGTAAGTTGCTAACTTAGGAGCCAAGAAAACTAGAAAGCTGAAATTTCAAGAAGATGTTTCCTGACAGTTTTTTCGGCCAGTCTTAATTTATTTAGCTAGAAGCATTTGCCGAAAAAACCGGTGCCGGTAGCAACAAAAACTGCGGGAAACAATGCAAAAAAAAAACGCATCTTCGCACGGGCAGCTCATGCATTGGCCAAATTATTTTAAATTATTGGCATACTCACTAATCTAGTTTATATCTTTAAAGTTTCTGTAACATTTAATACAATTCTCACTTCGTTCTTTGTTTGCCTGCTCCGGTGGCCCTCCCTGTGACCGTATTGCGGCCCATGAGGGGGAGAAGGGGTCCAACTGCGGTATCAAAAAAATATCGAGGTGAAATAACCAGAAAGATTTAGGGCTAAAGAAAAAATGTGAGAAAAAACGATGAAAAGCATGTAAGGAATTATTAAAGTAGGTAAGAAATGTTTTTAGGTCATTGCCCTAAAATTTCAGCTTCCTAGGTACCGTGGTCCCCGAGATAACTTACCAAAAATTTTCATGGAGCCGTGTATGTAATACTCGCGGGTACGGGAAAGCTGAATTTGAATAGGAAAGGTTGCGCATGGGCAGGGGGTTATTACATCAAAATTAAGTCGTATACATTTCTTACCGTTACCACAACTGGATCTCAATCCTCCAAAACACCAGTAATGCCAAAAACAAAGAAAGTGACGAAAAAAAAAGGGAAAACCTTAGCTCTCATCAATTCCAGCGGATCCACCCAACGTGTGGTCGCTGACTCAGCTTCACGTCCCGTCAATCCAGCATCAGCCTCACGTCCGATATGTCGTTGGCGCACATTCATCGCTACTGGCCCTTACCTGAAATTTAAACAAAACTACCCAACTTCTGGCAAAGAGGGTCAAGCTAAGACTTCTTACCCGCGGGGAAGTCAACCCGAGACTTCCTGCCCATGGGTAAGTCAACCCGCAAACAAGTAGATCCCCCTGGTATCACGGAAAAACCATTGAACTTCTGGCACAGAACGCCAAACCAAGACTTCTTGCCTGTGGGTAAATCAACCCGCAAACAAGTAGAATTCCCTGGTACCACGGAAAACCCATGCCCTCCTGCCCGTGGGTAAATCAATCCGAGACTTTCTGCCCATGGGTAAGTCAACCCGAGATTTCCTGCCCGTGGGTAAATCAACCCGCAAACAACCAGACCCCCTCGTACCACGGAAATCCAACTACCCAACCCTTCCGGCACGAACCGTCACCTTCTGGCACTAGACTGCTTGCCCGTGGGTAAATCAACCCGCAAACAAGCAGAACC